AGTATAATACGGTAAGTGAGGGATCATACTTTGACTTTTATGCCACAATTCATGCACAGTTCTGGATTCTAATATGCAGGAAGAGTACAGAAGTGTCATGAAACCATTGAAATAAACAGGTGATAAAAGTGTGGTGGGATAGGGTTACAGTTCCACCCCCTCCACTCTGCAGGTGCAACAAGAGGTGCACCGTTGATTGGTGGCCGGGCTCCAAGGTGTGTGAGCGGCAGCAGGATCTCTTGAAGATGAGGAAGAAAGAGTTGAAATAAAAAAGAAAATAATGATGGAAGACTTTAAAGTTATATCAAAATTTAAGATTGGACAGGATATGATTGGGGTAAGTCCTATCAGTTTGTAAAATGGATTAAAGAAAGTTATTGGAGATGTAGAACTAGCTCAAGTTTTAAGGGATGGGAGCTTTCTTATTATTTGTAAGAATACTGAGCAAAAGAATAATTTCCAACATGTAGTGTGTATTTATACTTTTTCATTGCTGATACAAGAAGATGGAAACTGTCTGATAGCAGGGCCCAAAAATTAAGTCTTCCTGAAAAAATGAGAGTGTAGACTTTATGATAAATCACGTTCTAATGTAAAATATATCAAATTACTGGATTAAGGAAATTTCCAGTCTACTACATGCTATCACACATCATTTTTGAGAACTTGGAAAAAGTTGCTCTTTATTTCCCAAAGTTACAGATATTTTGGCTGCCTGAAATATAATCTGTTCCTCCTCCATGACATGTATATGTATAGATTATATGAATAAAATGACTTTTGATGTTGATAAGACCCCGGGTTATTGATTATCAGGTCTGTTTTACACAAGCCAGGTTCCTGTTGAAGAAAGGAACCAGATCTTGTTCCAGGCCAGGAGACGGAATCTGTTGCAAAGCTAACATTCATTGAATCAAGAGAATCATCACATCCCTGCAACTCCTTCCAGTCTGATTGGAGATTTTCAGACCCACAACTACACTTTCATTCTTACTGTGATGGAAGTGATCAGGATAATGCAAAATGATCTATTTCAGTCCAAAGAGTTCAATTGTTAAATGTTGCCTTGGATAAAGGAAAAAAAAAAAAACAACATACTAGAAAAAACATTTCTAGGATTTCATGGACTATTTGAAGTACTTCTCTCTATATATTGTAAATATTCATTGATACTCTACACATGACTAATACTGCATTAATTGGTTGTCTGTGTGTTTTTACAAATTACCATTCCCTCCTGCAGTCGAGCCAGGAATTTTCTGATCTGACCTCATCAACTAAGTCATTATTCATTCTAATATCCATATATGTATTATCTGACATAGAAAAACAAACAATTCAAGCTGCTGCACCCTCCACCCTTCAACATTTTGCAAGAAGCAGAAGCAGATTTCTAAGATTAACATTTTATTTTCCAATTGTTTTAGTTTAGTGCAATGCAATCTTTATAGGAACATGTTTTAAGACAATGTTTTTGCATATTTTTATAAAATTAGAGGTGTGGATAAAAGGAACATATTTCTCAGATATAATGAGCACATAAACAGATTTGGAAAGTAAATAGGTGCAAAAATGGAAAGATTTTCTTTCCTCTTTATTCTCCATTTCTTCACTCCTGCAAGAAGAAAATAAGCACAAACACATTTCAGTAAAACCATAACACATTTTCAAGTAGCTTACAGTTAAAAATGATCACCAAAATGCTTTCGTTCTAGATGCTTGATGCTTTGTCACATAGGACCAGATTGGTTTGTACAGCTTTTACTCCATAATAATTCTAATAATCATTATCAGGTTATCTTTAACTGCTAAGTTGAAACCTGTTTGAGCTGAAACATTAATTTAAAAAAATCACCACAAAATCTGGAAGGGAGAAATATTTTATAGTGAATGTTCGAAATGTTTTGGAAAGAAAATGAAAGTGAAAGAAAGTGATCATTTTTACACTCACTGAGAAAACTTTTAAGATTTTGAGAAACACTCAGTGATTGGTTCAGGGGGGGCAGCCTTTACTTCTCTCTGTTCCCCTCTCATTTCTGCAAGGGCCACGTCTTCTGGAACAACTGAGACACCAAGATCACACAAGAGTTTCAGTAATAATCCTCAAGTTTCCTTCAAATTACGGTACAAGGACTGTACCTGGTGAGTCCCCATGGGAACGGATGGACATCAACTCAACTCTGACAAGAACAAGGAGCAGCAACAGAACCTGGGCTTTCATTTTCTGAGAGGACGCAGACAATCAGTGGGACACAACTGGTTTATGATCATCAAAAACAGAAGATTGAAATGAAAGCTCACCTCAGGTGCAGCGCGTTAGCTGGAAGTTATCAGCAGATCTGATTGTGTTGAGCTCTCAGAGGTTTTGGAGTTTACACGTACTGGACTAACAGGTATGAAAACGGGCGCGGCTCTATAAACTATTTTAAGAATGCCGGTCCAAACGTGTCCCTGAAACAGTTCACTCATTGTCATTTTAAGAACAGAGAACAGCCAGTTGTGTGGCTCAGCTGGTGAGACTGAATTGTTCATAAAACTTTCTCTTTATTGTACTTTTCTAGAAGCTGTAACCAACAATAACTTTGTCCATTTTACCTACTTACACTTCTTTCACCAAATTAAGACTTTAGCAAAAGTGTATTTCAAAAATCTGGTTAATAGTTAGAGATATTAGGTACACTGTCCAATCATAATTTGCGACAGGTTATGAATATGAAAATAGGGGGAAGGATCAGGGGAGTGAGGGAGGGTAGATATGCGAATGAATTTCACACCTCTTCACACAGCTCTCATTGTCTGTACTGTGTCTGAAAGACACCGACTGTTGGGAACGGGGTTTTTGGCTCTTGGTGGGGATTTTCTCTTTGTCTGCTGCGTCCCTCGTCATCCATTATATCAGTGGTACCCAAACATTTTTTCAGCCCCCTTTTGCATTACAATAAAATCTGCCTCAAAAAAGAAAAAAAAAATCAACTGAGCACCCACACACACACACATTGAACCAGACATTAAATCTATACACATATTTTATTTTCAAACTCCACTAAAGTTTATTTCACACTTCAGGTTGCAATAAAATCTACAAACCATCTTTACAGTGAAACACTTTTGTGTAACTGTTTACTTTTGTTTTATTTTTCATTCATCCATATCGCTTCCCGTGCCTCCATCCCCCTGCAATGGCATTGCGCCCGCTCTAGGGCGTGCGTCCCACACTTTGAGAACCACAGTGATGGTGCCTAGATTGGTGTCAGTCAACCTTTGTTCAATCACCCCGTCATCTAGGAGTTTATGAGGAGCAGCCTGCCAGCACTTCAGCGCCTGAGTGTTTGCCAATTGCGGTACTCTGTGCCCTCTGAGGTTGCTTTCTGTGTTTCCTGGTGATGCTTCAGATTTAACCACTATGTAGCCCGGGTTCATGGCTTTCTGGTTTCCCTTTGTGAGGCCGTGGATTTTATCCACTGGTTGCCCTAGTCCCTCGCCACCTCTACTGTTAGGGTCAACACCTATCAAACATAGGAGAGTTAGATTCTTTCTTACTGCGAGGAGAACAGACAGAGATGTGCTTTCAGTTACAATCTCCTACCGCCCTGAAGCACATTTGTCTGCTCCTCTCTTTTTTATTGTTTTCAGGATCCCTAATCACAAGAACGCTGTAACTCTAAGGGAGGGGAAACAACTCATCACACAGCTACAGCGCCAAATGTTATTCACTAACTAACACACAAATTATTCTGCACTAGATAATCTCCTTCCAGGCACAAAGTTAAACAGAATATTTAGTCAATCTACACAGTGACAGTTATGTAGCAACTCAATGAAGCAGAGCTCTTCACCAAGAGATAAACCTGCAGGAAAACTGTTGTCTCTGCTTCTCGTCAGTGAGGCTTTCTGACAAAGGAATGAGAGTAAATCAACAATACTGGAAACATTCTTAATTCTATAATGAGATCAAATAATAAATGCATCAAAGAAAGATAATATTAGAAGATTATATGAGAATAACGAATATTTGATTAATAATATCACAATTTCTCCAACATCTACTGAACAAACAAGTACAAAAACAATGAAAGCAGACTGTAAAATTTATGACTGAATTTTTATGTTTCTGCTTGTGTCACATTACGTTGATGGAAATGAGTGTCAAGAACTGAGTAACTGATCACATTATTATTTAATAATAAAAAATTACATTGTCAACTGGTCTGAAATGCAAGGTTAAAATACATTTTGATCTTTTATCTAACTAGTTACTCCAAATTGATGTTTGTGAATGAACATAAGGTTTTCTAGATAACGTTTAAAACCTTTAATCCAAGTTTGATTGATTGATGATCATTAAATTCATAAAGAAATATTGAATTAGAGGATTTGAGATTTTGGCTTAATTTCAGAATGGTCATTTTCATTTATAAGGGTAATAACATTGTTCTGCAACAGAACCAACTCTGGGTTGTGCCATCTGTCAGGAGTAAAACAGAAGTGCTTCACCTTGATGAATTTGATAACATCCATATCTCTCATGATCTTTAACAAAATGCCTCTTTGCTAACAGTTATCCTTCAAGCAATATACAGTAACTATCAGCTAAAACTAGCAGTTTGTAAGTGTGCAGCACAATATAATAATAATAATAAAGGTTAGATGATTAAATATGAAAAAAGCAGCAACAGGACAACATTGAAAACGTCCTAGAACAAGATGTAGAAGAACTAATAATAGATTAAACTATTTTAGCAGACATGCAGTATCATGCTTCAAAAGCATAAAACAAATGTGGATAACTAAAAGGCAGCACTGAATGATAATAAATGCATTTGATTTTTTTGCTGTTTGTTTGTTTGTTTTACATTATGTATTTTTTATACTTCTTTCATTTTCCTACTCTTTTCTTTTTCTTTCTTTCCTTTTGTTGTGGCATGTAAAATGATAAAGAGGAGGGAGTATGTTGGGACATTTATTATTATTATTATTTTAGATCATTAACCCAACATTATATTGTGATTTTCAATTTAAAGTTTTCTCTCTCTTTCTGTGTGTAGAAACTGACTTTGAGGCTCTTTTTTCCTGTGTTTTCATGTGAAACAGTTAAAGGTGTGTGTGTTTCCCAGACCTCATCAACCGGAATGCTCCCTACTTTGGAGGCCGCCTGTGAATGTCTCTGCTGTTTTTCTTGTCTGTCCTCCCTTTTCTTTGTTTGTTAAATACCAATATTTTCTCCAGATTTACAGAATGCAATGAGGAACAAACATTGGCAGATTATATGCTTAGGACCCTGAACCAGAAAGAGGTGTCAAATGCAAATTTACTGCCCTCTGACTCCTCCCCCCCAGAAAACCTCTGCCATCAAGCCAGGAGACTGGGTGGATACCAAAGTCATGAAGAGGAAGAGCTGGGCCAGCCCGCGGTGGGAGAGACCATTCCAGGTGCTGATAACGACTCCAGCTGCTGTAAAGATTGCTGAACGACCCAGCTGGATTCATCTCAGCCACTGTAAGTTGCAGAGAGTGTTGGGAGCCTAGGTGGGAGCATTGGGGAGTCCACCAACTCAGGGGTCTAACTTTCTAGGATCATTCGTCTCAACGGTGGTGAAGAAATCATCAACCCCCTGTTCTATAGAGTCCTAGGTAACTTCTGACATCTCTGTAATCTGAGCAGCAATGGGATTCTCACAGGCCAGGTGGAATCTCTGCTGCGCTGTGACTGCAGCATGTTTTTTGTTCTGGAGTGGAAGCTGCTTCAGCCTCCACAAGATAAGGAGAGAAGCAGAAACACTCTTCCCCAAGTCTCATCCACATGACTACAGCACCAACCTGTGGTGGCAACTGATGAACAGGACTGCTAATGAGGTGAACGTGGTGAACTGCTATGTGTGTGCACAGCTGCCCTACGCCACACACAACTCAGGCCTTCGACCAGGGAACATCACTGATGACAAACAGATGTGTCTCTATGGCCTGAGTTCTGTACACACCCACGGTACAGCAACCCCATACCAAAGGGATGCAGATGGTGCAAAAAGGACTATTCTTTTTCACTTTGGACAGGAGCTGCTGCTAAAGGACTTTTTGGAGCTATGAATTGTTCACTTGCTGCTGATGTTCTTCCATTTCCACAGACTGTAATGAAAATACCAAAGACCATTTCCTTGGCAGGAGCCAAACCAGGGTCTCTCAGGAGCTGGAATTACAACAATGGAACTGGAGCACTGGGAATGATCCCATGGAACCTGTGTAACACAGTTTACACCTTCTGCGAAACAACACCAGAATTTATCAACTGCATCGCCTGCAGAGGACAGGAGCCAACTTCAGACTGCAGCATCTGGAACGACAATCCAGACTGTCACGACTTGCTCCAGGAGAGGAGATTCAACATCACTCAGCAGACGAGAGGACGACAGGAGACAGCTCGTTGCAGCGCCATAGTGCCAGGAGACTATGGTCAATGGGTGATGGCTGACTGGTACTTTCTGTGCGGACATGGAGCTTAGATGTTTTTGCCGAGATATTGGGGAGCACTTTGAGGAACATGGTTCTGCAAAACCGTGTTGTGTTGGATTTTCTCACAGCCTCTCCAGGAGGCATCTGCAAGATCATAGGTTCAGCAAGCTGCGCATTCATCCCTGATGACACCCTATTGATGATTTTGGAAGAGCTTAAGAACTATATGGACAGTGGAACTCAGGGTTCTCAACCTTTTGACTTTCTTTCTTGGCTGACCTCCGGACCTTGGTGGCAGCTTTTGTTACAGATTGGAACACCCATCTTGACTGTACTGATCCTATTCTGTCTGTTCACAGCCTGCATCATTCCATGTCATGTTTAAGACTTTTAACACTGCTAGGGTTAACCTCTGTTAGGGTTAGGGTAACCTCTGACACTGATGAGGACTACATGTTGCTCCAGAAGAATGAAGATGACTGGAAAACAAGGGGTGTTGGTGACGACAAAATATGCATTTGGTTTTTACTGTTTCTTTGATATTTTCTATTCTTTTTATATATGTGTATATAAGTATTCTGAAACTCATATACAAAATGTGTAATCATTCTTTTTCTTTTTATATTATTTTTTGCATAGCTATTATGTAAGAATTATAAACAGGGGGGAATGTTGGAATAATTATGTTTTGTTATCATTCTTACATTTGTAGTTTTAATAGGTTTAGCATTCACATCCCTGAGAAAAGGAACTTGTTCGACTTTGGAGCTGCAGCCACTTCTTATGTTGGGATACTCCTTAAACTGCCTTTTCCCACATTCCTTTCCTGCTATGCTTTGTAATAAAGAACCAGTTCTGATGCAGAAAGTCAGAATGCATGGCAGACACCTTGAGGAAGTGGTCTGCTGTGCCTTCTCCTTTTGCAAAAGACTTGCTTGAAAACTCAAACATTGTCTGTGGTTCTTTTTATGTAGACTTAGACTTAGAGACTTAGACTTAGACTTGACTTTATTGATCCCTTGGGAAGACTCCCTCAGGAAATTATAGTTACCAGCAGCTCACAGGCAAAAATGTGGCACACAGTAAGCATACACAAAATACAAAAAAATACAAATTAAATACAAAACAAAGAATATAAATACAACACAAAAGGAAATTATAGCAATTTGGTCGATAGATTGACCAGTGATATGGTATTGCACTGTATGGTTTGGCCTGATAAATATGGAGTTCACATTTGTAGAAAAACTACTCCTTCTTCCCTCTGTCCTGTGTCACCTCCGACCCCCCAGTGAGGAGTTGTACAGTCTGAAGGCGTGGGGGACAAAGGAGTTCTTGAATCTATTGGTCCGGCACTTGGGAAGCAGCAGTCTGTCACTGAACAGGCTCCTCTGGCTGCTGATGACGGCGTGTAGAGGGTGGCTGCTATCGTCCATGATGTCCAGCAGTTTGTTCAGTGTCCTCGCCTCTGCCACCGTCACCAGATAGTCCAGCTTCATGCCGACCACAGAGCCGGCACGCCTGATCAGTTTGTCCAGTCTGGACGTGTCCTTCTTGGATGTGCTGCCTCCCCAGCACACCACGGTGTAGAAGAGGACACTGGCGATCACAGACTGGTAGAACATCCACAGCAGTTTGCTGCAGATGTTAAAGGACCGCAGTCTCCTCAGGAAGTACATCCTTCTCTGCACCTTCCCGTACAGGTGGCTGGTGTGTTTTGACCAATCCAGTTTACTGTCCAGCCACAGCCCGAGGTACTTGTAGGAGTCCGCGGCCTCAACCTCAGTTCCCTCTAGTACGACTGGTCTTGGCTTTGGTCTGGACCTCCCAAAGTCTATAACCAGCTCCTTCGTCTTAGAGGTGTTGAGTTCCAGGTGGTTTGTGTGGCACCAGAGAGCAAAGTCCCTCACCCTCCCTCATGTAGGTTGAGAAAATACCTATCAGTACCTACTGATAGGTGGGTACCCATCAGTACCCACCTATCAGTACCGGTTGCCCGAGTTCAGTCTTCAATTCCCCGCGTTGGATCGCAAGTCTTCCTTGGATTTCCTCCGGCTGGTTGCCGAACCGCTCCTCTGTCTCCGGCCCGAACGTACTATGCTAGGATGCTAGGAGTTTCACTAAATTAACCCCTCACATGATAAGCTTGTCCAGATTTTAATTACTTTTATAGATATTCCTGTGTGTTCTTGTGCATTTTCCCCAATGAGCAGCCACTCAAATTTATTAAGAATTTATTCACTTTTTTCTGCAAAAGAAAATTTTTGCCAAAACCATTACAGCACTTCCTATGAAACAACATTTTAGTTTGCTATTGTAGTAGTTGAAGTAAAAAAAAAAAATGATTAAATCAAATTTTATTTGTATAGCACATTTCAGCAGCAAGGCATTTCAAAGTGCTTTACATCATAAACACAAAAACACAAACAATACATTGTTCCATCATTACATTTTTAATTGATTACGTTTCAAATAAAACTCTAAACAGGTGTGTTTTTAGTCGAGATTTAAAGGAAGTCAGGGTTTCCGCTGTTTTACAGTTTTCTGGAAGTTTGTTCCATATTTTTGGTGCATAGATGCTGAAAGCTGTTTCTCCTCTCATGGTTCTGGTTCTGGGGATGCAGAGCAGAACCAGAACCAGAACCTGAGAGTCTGGAAGGTTGATACAACAACAGCAGATCTGTGATGTATTGTGGTGCTAAACCGTTCAGTGATTTATAAACTAACAACAGTATTTTAAAATCTATTCTTTGAGCTACAGGGAGCCAGTGGAGGGACTTTATATATATATATATATGTATAACCTTTCTATCATTTTCACCTTCTTAAGGTATTCAATCAATCAATCAAATTTTATTTGGATAGCACATTTCAGCAGCAAGGCATTTCAAAATGCTTTACATCATAAACACAAAAAACAAACAATACATTGTTCCATCATTACATTTTTAATTGATTACGTTTCAAATACAATTCTAAACAGGTGTGTTTTTAGTCGAGATTTAAAGGAAGTCAGGGTTTCCGCTGTTTTACAGTTTTCTGGAAGTTTGTTCCATATTTTTGGTGCATAGATGCTGAAAGCTGTTTCTCCTCTCATGGTTCTGGTTCTGGGGATGCAGAGCAGAACCAGAACCAGAACCTGAGAGTCTGGAAGGTTGATACAACAACAGCAGATCTGTGATGTATTGTGGTGCTAAACCATTCAGTGATTTATAAACTAACAACAGTATTTTAAAGTCTATTCTTTGAGCTACAGGGAGCCAGTGGAGGGACTTATATATATATATATATATATATATATATATATATATATATATATATATATATATATATATATATATATCCACACCAGCAGATCATTTGTCTGAGGCACTGAGCGGAGAAATCGTGTTTTGCACCAGGAAGTCGTCACGGTGAGTTAACATTTTTATGAAAGTAAAATGTTGGTTTTTGTGGCGCATCTCTGTTATTTTGAAGGGATATGTAAACGTTACCATGGCGACCAGAGTCAGCGAGTGTAGGGAAGTGAGATGATATGAGATGAGATGAGATGAGATGAGATGAGATGATATGAGACAAGATGAGATGAGAGGAGAAGAGCTTGTGAGCCTTATGTCTGGCTCACATGGCACAACTTTAGGATTGCCGGCCGATTTTCCAAACCTTTGTGACCACAGAGCCGATAAAGTCCAACAGGTTCGGTCGGTTCGTGTGTCCAGCCACACGGCAGGAGCAACACGCCACAAGAACCGATTCCACTCATGAACATCACGATTCCTGAAGAAGATCCAGTAAAACCATCAGCGCACCATACATGTTTTGTAGTTCATGATACATTTTGGATCTTAATTTATGAAATTTTATTTTATTTTAGAAAGATATTCAATATGCCAGTGAATGCTCTGTCTGGTTCATCTTTATTTGTTTTTTCTAAATAATACCAGATTTGAAGATGACAGGAAAAGTCTGTTATCAAGATTATATTTTGGCTTAATATCTTGAAAGACCCTCAGACAGCCTTTATAATGCAAGTCATTGTATTTTATCAAACCTTTATCAATCCATGTTTTGAAAGTATTATCTGTTTTATTTGGGCTAAAATTCTGATCACATGCTATCTATCTGATTGGTAGGCAGGACTCTTTATTTTCTTTTACTAATTTTGACCAGGTCTTGAGTGCTGCTTCAGAACGAGTTGAGCTCCAATTGCTGCTTGCAACGAGACTTGTGGATCATTTTAAGAGATAATAGACGAAACAAAAAGAAAAGGCCTTGGATATAAGATGGCAGGAGCAGCCGCTCTATTTGCTGCACTGTGATTGTGTGTTGAGTTGTTTTTTCATAGTCAACATTTTTAACCGAATAAACATAACATATACTAAACATATATAATAATAAAGTAATAAACATTTCCACATCCACCGGACTCTCAGTTGCCATTTCAACTATTTGTGCTTTCTGATTGGCTACCTGTCACATTCAACAGGCTGAGTTCTTTGCTCCCAGTCAGGGAAAACCTCACACGCGACGATAAAAGGGCCAAAACAATCAAACATGTTGAATATGCCCCATGTTATATTGGGCATATTTAGCAGACAGACACCACCACCACTCACTGCAGGACGTTGTAAGATTGTAGTAATGGGAAAATCAGGAAAAAAAAAAAATCTGATAATCCCCCTTTTTCCCCCGATTGCAGTAAAATCGCCAAGCCTCGACCGGTCCAAGGTAATAAAAAGGTTGGGGACCACTGGTGTACAACACTTTGGTCATCTGTGCTGTTTTTATAGTGCTTTATAACTCAAGCTGGTATGGATTGGAATATTTAGCTTATGTTTAGTTATTGCCATTAATTTTTGACTGTGCATTTTAATAAATGGCACCCCATAACTAATACATGAATAAATATTTAGTTTGTTAATGGATGTGATTGTATATAGGGAGCGATGAGCAGAAAAAAAGGAGCTGTCTGGGACTCTGTCCTCACAGAACTGTCATTGGTGAACAGCACTCTGCTATCATGTCTAGAGTCCTGTGTTGGTTTTCAACATAATACATAATATTAGAGCAAATGTAAAGAAATCTGAGACTGTGCTGAGTGTGTTTATCTACACTCAGCAGATAATGGTAGACAAACAGACAGACAGACAGACAGACAGACAGACAGATAGATAGATAGATAGATAGATAGATAGATAGATAGATAGATAGATAGATAGATAGATAGATAGATAGATAGATAGATAGATAGATAGATCATCTAGTTTAGATGGCTGCACAAACTAGATGGTAGATAAACACCAAATATTATAACCTTGTGGAAGGTTATTATGCCACAATAATAACCTTAAAAATATCAAGAAAAAACTGAGCTGTGTAGCTTAACAGGTTGTTCAGAAAAGCATCATTTCAGATGAACCATCTGTTGATTACAAAAAGATTTCCTTGAAGCGGCCATAGTGTTTTAGCAACTGTATGGAAGACATTCCTACATTGTTGCTTTCTACTGCTTGGTGCCCAGCTGCTCACTAAGTGTTAGCTTTAATAACCAGGAGAAAGCTGAGAGCTCATCTGAGGAAATCAAATTAACGGTCTTAGGAGCTGTGGTTGGCCGGGAGTTGCTGGGAGTTTTCGTCATAGTCCCAGTCTGAGTGTTTGTTAGGGTTACATTGCAAGAAGGGTAGGGGCTGTTGCTGCTCCCACTCATGTAGTCCCAGGGAACAGTGGGAGGAAGAGGAGGAGGACGATGAGGACCAGGCAGTCCTGACGGACGTCTCTCCACAGTACTGTGAAGCATCTGATGGACCCGAGTGTGGAGGCTGCTCCTCTGGGCCGCCCAGGCTCAAGCACGGGTCCAGCAGGGAGTATGGGGGTGGGTCATCGGTCGGTACGTAGATCTGAGTCAAATCTGGTCCCACACACTCATTGTAGCTGGAGAGATGAAGGCAGAAAGAACATTTATCCAAATGTTGGAATTACAGTATCAGATTATAGAGCGGACTCTCCGGAGCCCCTCGGGGACATGGGGAATTTCTTTTTTTTGCGTTACCTCGCAAAAGGTTTTGTGAGGAGACGCAAAAGAAAAAAAAAATCCCCCGTATCCCTTAGTGGGCTCCGGACACCTCACTATCAGCTACACCCATAAAGTAAAAAAAAAAAAACAACAACTGGAAACATGTAAGCTGCACCTGACTATAAGCTGCTGATATCTCTGTGACTCTGTATCCTCAATAAATCTGCTATTAAGGCCCTGAGTCTCCAACGCCGAACCATGGATTCGTTCGCGCCGAGCTTAGGTGCAGCGGCTATCGATCTAAAATTACTACTGGATTAACAAACACAAAGTGAAATTTAACAGCGTATTAATGTTCGAGGTGGTAGCTTCAGAAAAAGCGTCTACTCCACAGAGGTCAAAATCAAAACCTTAACAGACGATGAACTTTATTGAACTGAAAGTTTACAGAATTTAAATACATAAAAGAAACTCAGTAGATTATGTACATAATGGGATTGAACACATTTCATATCCAGGTAAGAGTTTCTTAGTTCATGCCTGGATTTAGCAGCCTGTTTAATCATGAATCTCAATGTTATGTAAGCTTTAATAGAAACATAGAAACTATAGACAGAAACATCAGTTTCTTTTTTAGAAAAAACAGAATTATCTCTAATTTTACCAGGTCTTCAAATTAGGAAATTCAAATTAAAGACAGAATCATTTCAATTAAGTGAGTGAATCTTAAGGCAGTGCAAAGAGGAGGAAGCTAAAGTTGGCAATTAGTCCAGCTGACATTTTGATCAAAAATGCCATGACACTGGCTTTTAGCAAGCTCTTTGTTCCTCCTCTATCCTCACAAAGCTGCACAAACAATTCAAAGGGCACCAGATGAGGAAGACGGCTACAACCAAGGAAATTGACACCACAGCTGGCCTATACCTTTGGCATAATCAATAGAAGCACCTCCCCTGCCTCTCTCAGTTGTCTTATCAGCTCAAGCAAACACACAAATGTTCCCTCAAAATGTATTTTAACCGTCCGGATGCAAGAGAAAGAGTCATAATACGATTTGGAAAACAGTTTTTTTACGTTGTAAAGCGTAGTTTTACTCCTCTGCTCTCGGTAGTGCATTATGCCCTGGGTTATTTATTTTGCCCTTCTCTAAGTTTGACAAGTTTGCCCTGTGTATTATCTTGATGCATGTGTTGCTTTCCCTCCACATATGCAGAAGTTTGTGAAGCTATGCTATGTATGTACATATCTATCTATCTATCTATCTATCTATCTATCTATCTATCTGTCTGTCTGTCTGTCTGTCTGTCTGTCTGTCTGTCTGTCTGTCTGTCCGTCCGTCCGTCCGTCCGTCCGTCCGTCCGTCCGTCCGTCCGTCCGTCCGTCCGTCCGTCCGTCTGTCGCTTTTCTATTTCAATGTTTAACCAAGTAAGTTTTTGTCCTATTTTCGTGTTACTATGCATTTTGGAATAGCCAGCTTGAGAGCTAGACCTCAAAATTTGGCGCTTGTTTGCATTTATCCTCCATTGTTTGGAATAAGACATCTTTTCTTTGTATCATTTTAAAGGGCCACACCAAAGGAAACATATTGCTGGTTGAGTGATGGCAACAGTATAGGTTTTGTTCCAGATCTTCAGGGTGGAGCTTGGTACATACACATTCATGTTACTCACCCTGGTGGAGAGTCAGGATACAGGCTGGTAATCTGTGGAAGACTCTCTGAAGGAGTCAAAATCTAAACCAGGAGGAAAGTCCTCTAAGCAGCTGGACCTCAGTTCCCCTGCTGAACCCCCAAAGGAAAATCCATCTTGACCTGCAGACAAACCTCATGTTACTCTGGAAATAAACGCTAACGTGGCTGTACAGTTTTATGCATTCACCTGACACTCAGTGTGGCTTCACAGTTAAAGCTTTCCAAGACTTGACCAGAAACGTCTAGTAAAGAGACTGACCATAGCTGGCGCCAAAGTGTGGGTTTCTGAGTCGACTGTCTTTCCGCAGGCTGCCGATGATGATGGTGATGCAGGAGAGGAAGAGGACCAGTCCTATAACAATCCCAGCCACCACCAGCGGAGACACCAGGAGAGACGCCTCCCCTCCAGACTCCCTCTCGCTGCGGCACTCTGGGTACTCCCCATGGCTCTGGTTGGAGCTCACTACAGGGACGTGCACAGCGACAGGAATCTCAGACAACCCAGAAGGCTCTTCTCTACACTGACTGACTGTTAGCATGCAGAGGGACATTAAGAATGTTCATAAATGTAAACAGGATTTGACATTTTCCTGTGTGGAACACTTGTTGCATATCAAACAACCAAATGAGAAGAACAGGAATTGATTTTGTTCTTCACAATTAATGCTTGTTCACTTTGGATTATTATTACCTTAAAAGATCGTGTTACTTGGCATTTTTATCAAAAAACTGTATGGTGTCTGGGAAAATGTACCTTTGTTGAATTCATTGCAACTAATTACATTTCAGCAAAGTCTGGGTGGGAACTCGCTGCTCTGCTCTACCTCACATATTTTTCACCTGACATTTCTCAATCCAACACCATGCAATCCTCAGGGTTGGAAATGTATGTATATGTTTCTGGTAAAGGCATTCATCACCTAATAAAACTTGTAAAGGTAAGAAATTGTCCTAAATTCCGCAAAAGAGGATTCATACATGACTAGCTCTCTACAGTTAGAAAATATTTTTTCATTAATAGTGGTGGTGGGGGAAGAGGAGGCGTTTGTAACAAAATTACTTTATTTCACGTAACCTTGAAGGTATTGTTTTCCAGTCTCTATTAAAACTAATATCACCCTGAGTACTTTCCTCAAAATGTACAAATATTAAGCACATTTTGTCATGTCATCAAGTCAGTCAGATCTTTAATGTGGTGAGATGCTTCTGGCAAAATCTTCATTTTGTACAGTCATACTGAAATTCAGGCCTTTGAATGCATTAGAATGTTACTTTTTTATAACTGTTTTACACTCAAGCATTTTTTCCATATTTAATAACCCTGGATCATCTGGAAATAAAGTTCAGGGTTGCATGAAATGCTCCCAGTGGTTAAATAGTTACTGGCTGAAATGATCAGAACGTAGGCCATGCATGCAGCCTTCAGTTTGAGCCACTCCAAGCATTCAGCATGTGGATGTGTGAATCTTCACTGTTGTAGACAGAGCCCTGGTTGATACAATAAGAAATCAAGTACTGCTAAGATTGCATTGCTGGATCTAGAGCTTGGCTAAATTATGCTATGATGCTGTGTACATTCTGCATATATGTTTTATTAAAGTGGGAATGCTCATGCCACAAGATGCCTAATAAAACTCAACAGGTCATCGGTTTGTGACCTCTAGCATAGAAACACAGCAGCAAAGGACCTGAGCTCCATTCTTGGTCCTGGCCTGATGGGTCAATCCTGACCTGAGGTCAGCTCAGGTCAGGAACAGGTATGACCCATCCGACCTGTTCCGGTTCCTGACCAGTTCCTGAACAGACCTGAGCTCTTCCTGACCTGTTCCTGGTCAGAAATGTTCTTCCTTCTGTTGTTATAAAGGAAGAAATATTTTCTTCAGACATGTTCTTCTTTGATATTGTTTTGTGGTGTTTTACTTTGAATAATTCGCAAAGTACAGACTGTATCTAGAAAAATACTTTTCTATTTTAACATTTAATCCAAAGGGTTTACTTTCTATTTAGCTAGCAAGCTAGATATTTATTTTCCATTGATAATTTAACAAACAGCAATAACAGAGATAATTAACTAACTTGTTTTGTTGCTGGACTTCTGTGCTCGTCACGGATTCTCCATAATGAACACCATGTTCAGGCATAAGGGTTCCATATGTGCACTTGGCACCGGGACACCCAAGGCTGCAGTTCAATGATCGATTTTGCCATCATTTCGTCGGATCTGCGGCCGTATGTCTTGGACACTCGGGTGAAGAGAGGTGCAGAGTTGTCCACCGACCACCACCTGGTAGTGAGTTTGCTCCGGTGGTGGGGGAGAATACCGGTCAGACCTGGCAGGCCCAAACGTGTTGTGAGGGTCTGCTGGGAACGTCTGGCTGAATCCCCTTTTCTGTTTCAGCTTTAACTTCCATCTCCGGCAGAGCTTCGAACACGTCATGGGGGAGGTGGGGGACATTGAGTCCGAGCGGACCATGTTCCGTTCCTCCATTGTCGAGGCGGCTCACCAGAGCTGTGGCCACAGCGGCAACCCTCGACCCTGTTGGTGGACACCTTTGGTGAGGGATGCTGTCAGGCTGAAGAAGCCCATTTTGGCCTCTAGGTCTCTGGAAGCAGCTGATGAGTACCGGTGGGCTTCCAGGCGATTCTGGTCCACCATCTGGCATCTCAGGAGGGGAAGCAGTGCAGAACCAATACTGTTTAAAATGGGGAGTATTTGATACGGGCTGTCAGGTCCCTGTGTGACCGGTGTCAGAGTCTGGTCCAGATTGCTGGCAATAAGTCGGGCTCGTTTCCGGTGAGGGTTGGACTCTGCCCTTTGTCACCGGTTTGTTCATTACTTTTATGGACAGAATTTGTAGGCACAGCTAAGGTGTTGAGGGGATCCGTTTTGGTTGGCTTAGGATCGCATCTCTGCTTTTTGCGGATGATGTGGTCCTGTTGGCTTCATCGGGACGTGATCTGCAGCTCTCGCTGGAGCGGTTCACAGCCGAGTGTGAAGCGGCCGGGATGAGGATCAGTGCCTCCAAGTCCGAGGCCGTGGTCTTGAGCCAGAAGTGGCTAGAGTGCCTGCAACATGCACCTCTAAGGCATGTTTGGAAATGATTCAGACAAAAATGTGATTCCATATGATAGGATGCAGTATCAGATGGTGTGTATGCCAGGCCAATCGGCTGTACAAGCAACCTTGTTTTGCAATTCCAGACCCTGAATTTCCCTGTGAATAAGCTCAGTTTAAAGAATGCCAGTTGCAGCAGAGAGTTTATGAGCATAAGCCATTAAACTTTTCAAACACACCATGTGATCAGTAATTGTGTTTAGCACCATCTTGTTTCCTGCTGGGCAGTAACAGTTTTCATCCAAACATATTTACTTCCTACTGCTGCTGCTGCTTCTTTCCGTCTCAGTAATAAAGTGTTGGAGCATGTGGATAAATCATATTTTACCAACAGTAAGAATGCCTCTGAAGCATATTGTTCTGTGCATTCATATTTTAAACATACAGCAGCACTTAGTCACATTAAAACACATGGTTGTATTGAAATGAGGTGGAATGTGGGTCACAGAACATCTGTGAATATGGGTCAAAATACATCATAGTTGGGCTTAAACTCCCTTCCTTTCTGCCATGTGGGATAGTGGGGGGAGAGACAGATTATCACACCCGGCTGGCCCATATTCTTGCCTTCCTCCTGTTTAATCATTTGTCCATTTTCAATGTATTCATCTCCCAAGACCCACAGCTCTTGTTGTGATCCCTTCTTCTTACGGTTTATCTCCACAACCAACTGCTTTTACTCCAACAAACCTGTTTTTGAGGACAACCTGAGCTGCAGTTCCACCATAAATGCACACAGAACGTTGTCATGTTGAAAACACACAATTTCACAATCATTGTTACCAATAAATAGAACATTTAGTTGGAATCACATGTGAATAAGTCATTAAAAAATGGCATTATCCTAACCTATGTGGTTTTTGCCGGTAGTAACAAACGTTGTGAATTATTGGGTTGCAAAATGTGTTTCCATCAAAGTTTTGCAAAATAAATGAATATTTATATGCCCAAAAAAACCACCTCATCCTAGCACCAAAACTCCTTATTACAAAACAAGTTATTTCTTTTGAAATTGGCATATTTCCATTAAGCAAATAATGGAACGGTTAATGGAAACACAGTTACTGTTGAATTCCAGGATTACAATATGTCTATACTTGTGTACATTTGTGATTGTAATATATTTACTAACTTTAACTGGTTGTGTTTTTCTGAATGCATCTATAATTTCTACATCTTATGACAAAACAGAAATAAATGCCACAGCTATATCCTACTTCATTACCTTCTATAATGTTTTTGTGAACTCCTGGAAAAGAATTTTACTTTGTTTTTTATCTGTTAGCCAGAAAAGCAGATGAGAAATGTCTTTGTGACGGGAACTATTCCTATGAACAGGCAGAAAGCCTTAGAGATTTCCAAGATGTCCTGTGGTCTGGTTGTGTCGCTGGTCGGCGAACAGAAAGAAAACCTGTTGAAATAATTGATGCTTCAAACTGGGAATTTCTGTTTACTATTTTCATTTCCTAATGACCCACCTTAACTGTGTCAACCAAATGGAAAAAAGAGTCGGATTTGGTAGGATTCAGTCAATAACAGTTAATAAGCTTATCATTAATAATATTGACAAAATCCGTTGGAAAAAATGACCCTAACCCTATTAAAGTATACCCTTGTTTTTATGGCACATTTAAATCTTCAATAGTTTTCAAAAATGTACATCTTTTAATAAAAGCTGGAGAAATGGCTAGAATCTAAAACTGGACATCTCTATTTCCTGTTTAGGTGACGGTGAGCCAAACTGAAAATACGGTGTATTCTTTGGAGATTTGTCAGTCATTGTTGGAAATCAGATTTTGTTTGCTCTGTTGCAACCGTCTGTAATAGGTTGTTTGTGAATATCAGTTTTGATTAGCAATGTGAAAAGAAGTCTGCAGGAAATGGAGTTCTAAGATCAGTCTGTTTACGAACACACTCGCTAAGCTACAGGCTAAGCTACAAAACAAGCAACAAATTAGGATTTAAAAAAATGGGTCAATTAAACTGGGATTGCAGTAAAACACCGTTTTATTTATTTGACTTTTAATATAATGAGGAGAAACAAAAATGGATATTTTTAGTTTTCCATCTTTTATCTTGCCTTTGTTTATAATTTTGCCCATAACGTTGCATGACTTCACAGTTTCTAAAGCAATCGACAACAATCGCTATTTCTAATTAATTCTCTTAATTCTAAAGTCATCATAGAAGTAATTAAGCTAGAGTATCTGTCGATATATCTATTCACTAAAAGGATTTCCCCTTTTGATTTGACATCTAAACATGTTAGCTCCTGGAGAGGAGGGTCTGTTGGATAGTCGATCCTCGGATTCAGGATTTTGGTCCTGGTTGTTGAACACTGGACCAGCTCTACACCCTCAGCAGAGTCCTGGAGGGTTCTGGGAATTTGCCCAACTGGTTTACATGTGTTTGGTGGTCTTGGAG